TAATAATAATTAAAAATTAATATATATATATACATAATATATATATTAATAATATTCTGAATTTATTTATTATCGACAAAATAGATCGATAATCTGTAAATAATTGCGCGTTATAAAAAAATTAATCGAGCCTTTCACTGACTTTAATGGAAAATAATAATATAAAATAAATAAATAAACCATGAATAGCTATGTAGTGTTTATAGAAAACTTATGGCGATTTATCATGTTTGCGGCATTGTCTGTCTCTGTCTCTCTCTCTCTCTCTCTTTCTCTTTGAAAATAAAAAAATAATCGAGGATAAATAATAAAAAATTAAATCGAAGGGAAGATAATCTATCTCGATCCTAAATTGAACGAAATATTAAGCGAACATCGTACATGCTGCATAAGCACACATGTGTACACATAAACATATATATATTATTAGTATTATTATATTACATATATTACTTTTTATATAATATATTAATTATTTATATATTATTATTCAATATATATATATATATGTACATATGAATACATGTGTACATATGTAACGACACGAGATTCATCTGAAATTCAATAATTAATAAATCAAACGGAATCTAAATGATCTATAAATTTCATATTAAATCAATCACAATGAGTAGAGTTTTACTTTGATGAACAACACAATAAAAGAGAAATAATATAAAAAGATTTTGTCAGATCAGCTTTCTGCAAATGTGTAAATAATAATTATTACAAAAAATCATAAAATTTGGAAGAAAAAGAATCTCTAAGAAGATGAATCAGTACTAAGAAAACAATCGTATAGAAATTAAATGGACGAATCGCGAGGGACAATTTTTACACGTATATACTCGCGTGATGCACACATAAAAAAAAAAAAAAAAAGAAAAACACAAACAGGAATATGTGCACCCGGCACACGTGGCGACGTAAAAATCACGAAATGCACGCATACGTACATATATACATACACGCACGCACTATAAAAAGAAGAAGAAGAAGAAGATGAGAATACGACGAAGGAAAGAAAGAAATGATTTAATAAATGAATGAATAAACTATTTAACAGTACGCCCTCTCGGAATGACGGAATAAATTATTCAATCTACAAAAAATAATAATTATTACGCATAGCTTAACTGTCTTTACTTTATATAAATGTTAAACCATGTCGCGCTACACACACACGCGCATACACACGTACACGAGAGTATATAAAAAAGGAAATATAAGCTGACTTTAATTAATTATTTGATTAATTAATTAAGATTGTATAGAAGCGAATACAAAACAGAAAAAAAAAATATATATACATATATATATGGAACTGGATACCACTCTTGTAACTGAAATATAGCATAGCAAATCCTAAAGTTTAAATATTTACCGTGAACATGTAATATCATTTAAAAATGATGCAAGGAAAAATAAATAAATAAATAATAATAATTATAATACAAAATGCGATCTGCTGATAATGAAATAAAAAGATTAAAAAATATACTGTTGTTTCTGCACAAAAAAATTAACACGAATGCTTCGTTGATATAATTATAGTCTCTCTCTCTCTCTCTCTCTCTCTCTATCTATTTCTCTCTCTATCTCTCTCTCTCTATTTCTCTTTTAATCTTTCTATTTTTAAATAAAATATTAAATACTTTGCAGTTAATAATAGTTTATAATTAAAAAAAATAATATTAAAATTCTTTTTATTATAGGAAAATGTCACTTGTGTCGATCGCAATGATCGCACAACAATCATTTGTAAATGTATTTTGTAAAAATTGTATGTATCATTATTATTATTATTATTATTATTATTATTATTATTATTATTATTATTATTATTATTATTATTATTAATTAGTATTAATGTCAGTTATCGTTAGAATGATTATTATTGTTAATTATAAACTTTTATCGAAATCAGGCATTATTAATATAGTTCATATGATTATTATGATTATTTTTACTATGAAATTATTGTCATAATAATAATCTCGTCTCCTTACGTTTGAACGAATGATTAAAATTAAAAAATCAATCATAATGATTAGTAATAATAATAATTATTATAATCAGAAATCGTCGTCCTTGTCTCCGCTAAGTAAAATACTGCTTTAATGTAAACGATCGAGAACAAATCTAGATCCGATGATTAAACGAATGAAAAATCATGTGTATCGTATTATTAAACAAAAATAATAATAATAATAATAAGAATAATAATAATAAAAATGATTGAAGAACAGGTGGATACTAGAGAGAGAGCATCGAAGAAGAAGAAGAAGAACAAGAGGATAGAACGAACGTGATTATGCCCCGAATAAGATTGAGCCTAATCACGCGCGTTGGTTTTAAATTATATGATAATTAAAAAAAAAAACATTGAAATTAATAATTATTACTAATAATAACGATAATAAAATAATAATATAATAATAATAACGACGTATTTATTATTAACAAAATAATATCGTCGGCGTTTTGTGTGCAAAAATGATACTGATAAAATGATTAAAAAATTGTCTAAGGAGATATTTAAAAAAAAACCAGTTTGTATGCACCTGCTCCCAATTGTTCATGCCCAATTTGTATTGCGTAGTTGGATCGATTGATAATTATTATTATTAAAAAAAAATTATATGTATATATATATATATATATTATATAAATATATATATATATATATATATATATATATGGATATAAAAAAAAATGTGTGGAGATTGCCGCGTATATATATATGTGTGTACATATGTATTGTGCATGCCGTATTGTGCCGGACATATGCATATGCATGTAAAAGCGACAGAAATGAAATGAACTAATGTAACTACTACACCTGCCTCTTGTGAATAAATGCCTATTTGTTTCTTTTCAAAAGCTCTTATATATTGTTCTTTTGAATTATTAATTACTCATTATATTATTTATATCATACCTACCAATACTCATAATCGTATGAAGGTAATTTTGCGTAATAATAAATTCGCAAGACAGCATGATTTTATTAAATAAATACTCCTCGTTTCAATCAATCCGATAGTGAATTACACGTTATGATACACACT